TCCACACATTGCTTGGCACCTTGGAACCGGTCAGATTTTCTTCTAGCATGATTGTTGGATGGGTGAGTCCACGATGGCATCCCTATTCCCCCACAGACAGCACACATCTGCGAGGGTACAGGATTTTTTTGACGACACTGGGTGGGATTTTGGATTGTTATTACATGCCCTTCCTTCTCACATGGCGAAACAGATAGGGGCGATACCTTTATGTGCAGATGCCCCGGACCGAATTGTTTGGAAAATTACTTCGGATGGTGACTTTACCACCAAATCAGTATGGCAACTAGTCCGTTCGGTTCGCCAGCCTCAAGACTCATATCGACTGCTGTGGAGCTCTATCTTGCCTACCACTATTTCATTCTTCTGCTGGAGACTGTTGCAGGATCTCATTCCAGTAGATGTTGTTATTAAGAGGAGAATTGGATATCAGTTGGCTTCTCGTTGTCAGTGTTGTTCCGAGATTGAGACCATCAATCATATTTTCACGAGCAGCAGAATCTCCGAGCATGTATGGCAGCACTTTGGAGACATCTTTCAGATACCTATGACTTCAGGGGAGGGGGTCAGACAGAGGTTCCAGAGATGGCGATATTCTGGGCAGCACGTTAGCCGTGGACACATTCGTACTATCATTCCTCTACAAATATTTTGGTTTCTATGGACTGAGAGGAATGATGCGAAGCATAGAGGTATTCGTATGGTGGCCAGACGTATTATTTGGAGGGTCTACCGTATGATCTCCTTTCTTCATATGGGAGGACTATTCCGAGTTGAGCATTGGCGAGGAGATGTGACACTTGCACCCTTTTTTGGCATTTCTTTGACCCGTCCTTTCCCACCACCACCTATTATGGTTGTTTGGTGCACTCCACCAGTTGGATCCTACAAGATCAACACTGATGGATGCGTCAAAGATGGATTTGCAAGTGGTGGAGGCATCATTAGGGACCACGCAGGATACTGTATCAGGGCATTCTCAGCATCGTATGGCCCATGTTTCATTTTGGAGGCTGAGCTCAGAGCTATACTAGATGGGCTTCTGTTGGCCAGAGGACTTGGGATTTCAGCTATCTGGCTTGAGGCAGATTCAACATTGGCTATTCACTGCATCACCAAAGGTGGAGGACCATGGTCGATTTAGGGTATTCTTAGACAGATCAGAGACCTCATCTACTTCGATAGAGACACGGTTTCACATATCTATCGAGAAGGCAACCAGGTTGCTGATTCTCTTGCTACAGAAGGCTGGGATCATCGGAGCTATCTAGAGTATGGACCACTAAAACTGCCTCGACATATTAGGGCGATAGTGCGGATCGACAAACGTGGATTGCCCAGTTTCAAAGGTTCGTAATTTAGGCTATTCTTTATTGTATAGGGAAGTAGTACTTCCTTATTTATTGCTTTCATTTATTATATTCATTTGTTGCACTGTTGCTTTCTGGAGGTCAGGTTTATACCCCCCTCCTTCCCTGTATTCTTGATTTTTATTGAATAAACATGGTTGGGGAACCCTTAACCCCCATCGACCTTCCTTGGTGGACCCTAAAAAGTCACTAAGGATGTGTGGATGTCTTTACTAAAAAAAAAAAAAAAAAACCCCAAACCCCAAACCTTAAACCCTAACCCCTAACCCTAGCCCTAAGCCCTAAGCCCGAAACCCTAAACCCTAAAACCCAAAACCCAAAACCCTTAAACCCTAAACCCGAACCCTGAACCCTCAACACCAAACCCTCAACCCATGTTCTGACAGTTCTTTGTGCTTCACAACAATTTGATTTCTTTTACTTTGTTCAACAGTGGCCAGGATCATATTGTGATTCGAAAGAATGCTGTTATCCAAATACAGGCAAGCCGGCATCTGATTTCGGCATCCATGGCCTGTGGCCCAACTACAACGATGGCTCGTATCCATCAAATTGCGACCCACAAAGCCAATTCGATCCATCCAAGATTTTGGACTTGACTAGTAGAATCCAAAAAGAATGGCCATCTTTGGCATGTCCAAGCAGTGACAACCTAGATTTCTGGTCCCATGAATGGGTCAAACATGGAACTTGCTCTATGTCCGATCTTGACCAGCACGATTATTTTGCTGCGGCCCTAAATCTCAAGGAACAGATCAATCTGATGCAAGTCCTAGAAAAATCAGGTATTCACCCCAATGGGGAGGTCTATGACTTGGGTTCCATCAAAGATGCAATAAAAGAAGGCACCGATTATACGCCATGGATAGAGTGCAATAGAGATGAATCTGGGAACAGCCAACTTTATCAAGTCTACATGTGCGTAGACACTTCGGGGTCTAACCTTATTGAATGTCCAGTGTTCCCTCATGGAAAATGTAATTCCAGTATCGAGTTTCCTTCTTTTTGAGTAGAAAACGTGCTAAACAGTATTGGTCGAGACACGGAGACAGTCGCATGAATAAGATTTTAGTGTCTTTTTCGTTTAATGTTGTTCAATACTGGGTACCAAGCATGTGTTATCTCTTTCCTGTTTTTCTTTCCTGTGTAAGTACTTTCCTTTGTTCTAATCTTCCAAATCCTCGCGTCTATGGTGTTCACATGTTTACTCAATTTAAGAGCTCGACTCTTGAACGAAATTGAATTTGATTTGTTTATTAAAAAAACCCCAAACTCCAAACCCTAAAAAACCCTAAACCCGAAACCTCGAACCCCTAAACCCGAACACGAAACCTCGAACCCCTAAACCACCCTAAACCCTCTCCTTTCCACTTTCTCTCTCTAGCCCAAAACGCTCTCCCTTCTCTCTAGAACGGGAGACAAAGTACAAACCTTCAAAAATCTTGACCCACCACCCGATATTCCACCTTTACCCGGAGGATTTCAACCCCAAACGACACCAGATCAACAACAAAATCAAAATATTACCATTTTCGAAGCGATTGGATTGAATTCTAATAAAAACAATGATGGCACGTTTCCCAATGTCACCAAAACTTCATCTTCTATAGTGATTCAAGATCTAGGACCCTCACCAATGATTCCAGAAGGGCCGAAAACCCTAGGGGTGGTGGAGATTGCATCCGAACCGCCCGAAATTAACAGATCGAATCCCGAGGGGCCGATTTCTGATTTTTCAATTAAACCCTCTACGGAGCTCCGACAGGAGAACCTTCGTCTGAAAAGTGGTCCAATTTCGACGTTGGACGCGCCCTTACCGACAATCGCAAGTTACGGCCAGTCGCTCGGAAAATCATTGATTTCGGCCAATCCTGATCTCGTTTCGAAAAATGGAACGTATCGTGATGATCACCGTAAAATTCTGCATCTTCCTGTGAAAAATCATAATTTTCTGACACCGTTGGAAAATCGCCGCCGGTCAACGGTCGGCGCGTGGTGGTCACGTGCCGGTGGCACTTCAGCAGAATGTGGAGAATTTTGTTACGGATCCAGTTCCATCATCGGATTTTCCACGAGAGGTCCCTACAGTAATTAATCAAGCTAGGAAGTCATTTGTGGCTGCACTTTCCAGTAAATCAGTAGTCTCTCAAGCTGACTGCAGCCAACGGAAGTCTTTTGCACAGGTTTTGCAAGCCCCACCGGACTCCAATGACCATAGGTTTGCCTCTAAGGAACCTTTCATGCATATGGGAGAGCCGACAGTTACCTTTACCGAGGAAGAAGAGGACTTTCTTTTTGAACCGTATAAATTTACTCTTGTTGGCAAATTCTCACGTCGCAAGCCCTCCATGATTAAGGTACGTGATAGCTTTCAAAAATTTGGTTTTTGTGGTGATTATATGATTGGACCTATTGATGCGACTCAGATTCTAATACACTTGGCACATGAGGATGATTACTCAAGCTTATTTCTTAAGCCCTCTTGGTACATCGATGGTTGTCTCATTCGTGTTTTTAAGTGGACGCCCAGCTTTAATCCTAGGCATGAGACTCATATTGTCCCTGTTTGGTTTTCATTCCCATTATTGCCCATTCACTTTCGGGCAAAGAGTAGTTTGTTTGCCCTAGCTAAGGCCATTGGAATCCCACTACGTATTGATGAGGCCACTTCAGATTTACGACGACCCAGTGAGGCACGAGTATGCATTGAGGTTAATTTGGAGTATAAGCTTCCAGATAGGATTTGGATTCAGCGTGAAAAGTGTGGAGGATATTGGCAAACAGTTGTGTATGAGAAGAAGCCAGATTACTGTTTTCGATGCAGACATTTTGGTCATACTGAGGAGCATTGCTGCCCTGCACCACCACCTACTCTAGTTGTTGACCCTATTCCTAAGCCTACTGTAGAGATGGCCAAGGATAAGGGTAAAGGAAAGGAGGTCGTTATTGAGCCTCCTTAGAGATGGATTCCAGTTCCGAGAGATCAGAAGAGACAACACGATGCTAGCACATCTAGAGTTCAGATTCCGCTTTCTGTGTCCACTGTCATCACATCAGTCCCATTACCTACTGGCACTAGCTCACATGCTCAGACCCAGTCATCTGTTCCTCCAGTTGCTCCTCCCGTTGCTACAGCCTTACCAGTTATCAGTGTTGTAGATCCAGTTACATCTACCACTCCTTCAGCTCCTACTCAGGCTACAATCCACCTATCACTCCGTTTTATGATCCTATGTTGGATGAGATCTTGAAGAGGCCACAGACACAGAATTCTACAGCAAATACAGCCAGCAGAGCTTCTTACATTCTAGGCCCGACACCGGGTTGGGCTCATGCACCTATTCACACTTTTCCTCCTCCCGTTTGTCATCAGAATGTGGAGGCATCTATTCCATCCTTGCCGTCATCTCATTCAGATACAGAGTGCTCATCTCAGATTGAGGTTCATCAACAGGGACCCTTTCGAAGATCTTCTTCTGATGACTTGGTGGGTTTATGTGAGAGGACAGAGGATGATGGATTTATCCCAGTTGTTCGAAAGAGACATCCACGGGCTACTGATACTCCACATCCGAGCAGAAGGATAACTCGGAGTCAGTCACATGATACCTCTTCACATTCCCCTTCTCTATGAGTGCCATCATTTGGAATGTGAGAGGTGTAGCTAGTGTAGCTACTCGTCGGCGCCTGAAGAAACTTATACAGCTTCATCAGGTTTATCTTCTAGTTATACTGGAGCCTTTTGTTCTGCAGCAGAATTTTGCATATACACAACGCTATCTGTGCTTCGACATGGGAGCTCAGAATGAATCGAATAAGATCTGGTTTTTCTGGAATTCGGGGACTAGTGTTACTGTTATTGTTGATCATCCCCAGTTTCTTCACGTTAGAGTTGAGGATCCTAGACTAGCGCGTCCTATCTATTTGACTCCAGTCTATGCATCATGCGATTCTACTATCAGGAGGGATTTGTGGGCGGGTCTTCACCACATCTCCCTCAATATGGACGATCCTTGGCTAGTTGGGGGAGACTTTAATGTTATTACACATGATGGAGAGCGCACTGGTCATAATACCCGTGATTGTGTTACTACTGCTTTCTCTGATATGGTGTTAGACTGTGGTTTAGAGGATGCGGGTTTCATTGGAAACCGATATACTTGGACCAATGGTCGGGTCAGAAAGAGATTGGATAGGGTACTTATTATTTCTACAGCTACAGCTTTTTGTCAACAGCTTACAGTGAGACACTTGAATCGGACTTCATCTGATCACTCTCCTTTACTGCTTCAGTGGGTTTCTGATGATGATTTGGGGCCTAGACCGTTCAGATTCCTCAATGTTTGGACCAAGCACCATTATTTTTTAGCCTTTGTCTCCCAGAAGTGGTCGCTCCCTACTCATCTCACAGGGATGACTACTCTATGGGAGAAGTTCTTTAGGCTGAAACAGGGTCTACGCTGGTGGAACCGACATGTATTTGGAGATATTTTTCAGTGGGTGCACGATGCTGAGGTTGGGATTGATGATGCTGAGATAATATATGATAGAGATCCCACACCGGAGCACCGCAACTTACTACATCATGCCCAGGCAGTTTTGAAGCAGACCTTATCTATTGAGGAGGGCTTTTGGAAGCAAAAAGCCAGTTCACATTGGGTATGTGAGGGTGATCACAATACTCGATATTTTCATACGATGGTTCAGGGGCGCAGGATCAAATCGCGTATCAGGTCTATCAAGACATAGGTAGGGGAAGTTTTATCTACTCCGACTGATATTTAGACTTCGGCTATTGCATTCTACCAGGATCTCTTATCTGCTCCTCCACAGCCCTTGGATCACATCCGTTCAGATGTAATTCCCAGACTCTTGACGGTGGACGATAATTTGGCACTAAATTGCCCCCCTTGATGCATGAGGTACGGGAGGCGGTTTTTAGTATTGGTGCTGACAGTGTCGCTGGCCTAGATGGCTTCTCATGTATATTTTTCCAGCATTGTTGGGATATTATTCAGGAGGATGTTTACAGGGCAGTATTGGATTTCTTTGATGGAGGTCATCTTCCACGGGGTTTTACTGCTACTTCTATTGTCTTGCTCCCTAAAAAGGATGGTGCCTGTAGATGGACTGACTTCAGACCGATCAGCTTATGCACGGTGTTCAATAAGATTATTACAAAGCTTTTGAACACTCGGTTAAGTACTCTGCTACCACGCATTATCTCCCCTCCACAGAGTGGTTTCATACCATGTCGTTTGATTGGAGACAATGTTTTACTGGCTCAGGAGCTTCTTTACACTTTGGATGATAGAGTGCGAGGGGGTAACACTATGCTGAAGTTAGACATGGCTAAAGTATATGATCGCATGGATTGGGGTTTCATTTATTCTGTATTGGAGGCCTTTAGATTTGATCAGATCTAGATTGACAGAATTAGACGATACATTTCTGTACTTCTAAATGGCCGTCCATATGGTTTCTTTACTCCCTCACGAGGACTCAGACAGGGTGATCCTATCTCTCCATCCTTATTCATCATAGCGGCAGACTACTTTTCACGCCTGCTCACTCAGAGGTTTCAAGAGTATCCCAGTATGTGCTATCGACACGGAGGTAACACTCTTGTTTCCCATCTCTCATTTGCTGATGATATGATCATTTTTGCCAATGGTCAGAAACAGTCTATCAGGAGGGTCCTAGACTGCTTAGAGCACTACGAAGAGATTTCTGGCCAGTTGGTCAATAGAGACAAGAGTGGTCTAATACTATCCAGACGGGCATCCACTAGTCAGATCAGATGATTGGAGAATTTGACTGGGTTTAGACATCAGCAGCAGCCTTTTACTTACTTGGGAGTCCCACTATTCAAGGGGACTAAGAGGAGCTTTCTTTATGACGGCTTTATCCAGAAGGTCAGGGGCAGAATCTCAGGTTGGGCTTTACGATTACTATCACCTGGGGGTCGTATTACCTTACTGAGGTCAGTACTCTCCTCCATACCATTGCATCTTCTTCAGATTATGCAACCGCCCAAGGTAGTGTTGAAGAAGCTTGAGAGTATCTTTGCCCGATTTCTATGGGATTCTAAGGATCAAGTTCGATGCCTACATTGGAGGAGTTGGAAGGAGATTTGCCTTCCAACAGATGAGGGAGGCCTCGGCTTCAGGAGATTACAAGATGTGGTGGACACCTTCTCCATGAAGCTCTGGTGGTTGTTTCGATCTCAGAGGTCACTTTTGGCTCAGTTTTTACTGGGCAAGTATTGTATGGGAACACATCCTTCACTTGCAGCAGTTCCTAGTTCAGCTTTCCCTACCTGGAAGAGGCTGAAATTAGTTGGACCACAAACAGATCCACACATTGCCTGGCATCTTGGAGCAGGCCAGATCTTCTTCTGGCACGATTGTTGGATGGGCGAGACCACGTTGGCATCCCTATTCCCACATAGACAGCAGACATCTGCGAGGGTGCAGGATTTCTTTGATGACACTGGGTGGGATTTTGGACGGTTATTACAAGCCCTTCCTTCTCAAATGGCGGAACAAATAGGGGCGATACCTCCATGTGCAGATGCCCCAGACCGAATTGTTTGGAGGATTACATCGGATGGTAACTTTACCACGAAATCAGCATGGCAGCTTGTTCGTTCTATTCGCCAGCCTCAAGATTCCTATCGATTACTGTGGAGCCCAATTTTGCCTACCACTATTTCATTCTTCTGTTGGAGACTGTGGCAGTATCTCATTCCTGTAGATGTGATTATTCAGAGGAGGATTCGATGTCAATTGGCCTCTCGTTGTCAGTGTTGTTCTGAGATTGAGACCATCAATCATATTTTCACGAGCAGGAGAATATCCGACCAGGTATGGCAGCACTTTGGAGATATCTTTCTGATACTTATGACTTCAGGGGAGGGGGTCCGACAAAGGTTCCAGAGATGGCGGTATTCTGGGCAGCACGTTAGCCGTGGGCATATTCGTACTATCATTCCTCTACTGATATTTCGGTTTCTATGGACTGGGAGGATTGACGCGAAGATAGAGGTATTCGTATGGTGGCCAGACGTATTATTTGGAGGGTCTACCGCATGATCTCCTTTCTTCATATGGGAGGACTATTCCGAGTTGTGCATTGGCGAGGAGATGTGACAATTGCACCCTTTTTTGGCATTTCTTTGACCCGTCCTCTCCCACCATCACCTATTATGGTTGTTTGGTGCACTCCACCAGTTGGATCCTACAAGATCAATACTGATGGATGCGTCAAAGATGGATTTGCAAGTGGTGGAGGCATCATTAGGGACCACGTAGGATACTGTATCAGGGCATTCTCAGCATCGTATGGCCCATGTTTTATTTTGGAGGCTAAGCTCAAAGCTATACTAGATGGGCTTTTATTGGCCAGAGGACTTGGGATTTCAGCTATCTGGCTTGAGGCAAATTCAACATTGGCTATTCACTGCATCACCAAAGGTGGAGGTCCATGGTCGATTCAAGGTATTCTTAGATAGATCAGAGACCTCATCTACTTCGATAGAGACACAGTTTCACATATCTATAGAGAAGGCAACCAGGTTGCTGATTCTTTTGCTACAGAAGGCTGAGATCATCGGTGCTATTTAGAGTATGGACCACTAGAACTACCTCGACATATTAGGGAAGTAGTACTTCCTCATTTATTACTTTCATTTTATTATATTCAGTTGTTGCATCGCTGCTTTTTGGAGGTCAGGTTCATGCTCCCCTCCTTCCGTGTATTCTTGATTTTTATGAAACAAATATGGTTGGGGAACCCTTAACCCCCGTCGACCTTCCTTGGTGGACCCTAAAAAGTCACTAAGGATGTGTGGATGTCTTTACTAAAAAAAAAACCCAAAACCCAAAACCCTGAACCCTGAACCCTAAACCCTAAACCCAAGCCCTGGGCCAACCCTTACATTTTCTCTCTAGAGATAGGTGATTTTTGGAGATTTCTAGTCACCCAAAATGGAACCCCATCCGGCTGCATTCTGGCCACCATGGCCACTGGATCCGACCACCAATAGAACCACCTCACTTCCCTCTATAACCTACACCCAACCGCCAGCAATAAACTCGTCGAAATTTGATGAAAATTGAGCCCAAAACCCGGATTTGCCGCAATCTTTTTCTGTCGAAAATCACTGTTCTGGTGATACCCATGCTGACGCACCACTGCCGGCCGATGGCTCTCTTCTAGACAATCACAACCATGGTCGCCGTTCACCATTTGGAGCTCCCAATCGGCCGGAATTGAATCAGAAAGTTTCGCCTGCGCTGCCTGCCGAATCGCTGCCTTCGTTTCAATTTTTCGGCGCCTCCAGTGGGACCCACAATCTCGGACCACTGCCGGTAGGTAGCCTTCCTCCAGAAGATCACAACCATGGTCCCCACTCACCATTTGGAGCCCCCAATCGACCGAAATTGCATCTGAAAGTCCCGCCTGCGCTGCCTGCCGAATCGCTGCCTCCCTTTCAATTTTTCGACGCCACCAGTGGGACCTATAGTGGCGGACCACCCAATATCTACTCCTCTCATCATGGGCAACATCCACATCATATGGGTCTTCACCAATTTTATCCCAATCTCGCAAATCGAACGGATTCAATCCCTCAAGGTCAAAAGTCCGATTCTCTCTTAATTGACCCCGCAAATGTGTTCGATTCTGCAATTAAACGTGGGGTAAATGAAATTCAAGCCCCAAATACTCTGGGTAATGTTCCAATTGCTGAGATTACATCATTAATTTGTCGAATCTTGGAATCAAACGGTGTTCTTCACACCTCTAGCGCTGCTGGTCAGATTTCTTCCATTTCTGAGCATTATTTGAGAAAATTGACACCTCCAATGAACTCAGCAGGTCCAGAAACATCAGAAGGGACTATCAGTTCGATCGAAAATATTACATTGGATTTCGTGCCAAAATGCACACAAACGAGGCAGTTGGTACTGTTGTTTCTGGGCAAAGTTCTACATTTTTAACACTGCCTTCGTCTCCAGAGCATATGAAAACCTTTGGAGAGACCATTGCTCCGACTGAAAATGACGAGAAATCTGCATTGGGAAACGTGCCAAAGTGGCACACATATCGAGGCAAATCCTTCTAATGTTTTTGGACCTCCTTTGATCCCAGGAACTGCACCACTGGCTCCAAATCATGGAAAGACTCCAAGGATCAACACATTACCACCTAGTACATCCCAAACTGCGCGTACCATCAACGTGCGAGTCCCTCCTGCATGCAAGCAACCCCCACCACCTCGTGCAACACCACGAGCCACTGCAACTTCCACAACTGCTCATTCTGGTCTAAAATCTTATGCTGCAGCAGTTGGTAATGTGCTAGTAGTTTCTCAAGCATAGAGGAGTCAAAAGAATTCCTTTGCTCAAATCCTTCCAGCATCACAAGAATCCACTGACCACAAGCTCATTTCTAGGGACCCTTTCATCCATCATGGTGAACCTGAAGTTCTATTCACAGAGGCAGATGAAGAAGTCTTGGCTGAACCATACAAGTTTACACTTGTTGGCAAATTTGTGCACCGGAGGCCATCTACGCTTAAGGTACATGAAAACCACTGTGGTATATTGATGGTTCCCCTATGAGAGTCTTCAAATGGACTCCAAGCTTTAGTCCACTGCAAGAGACCCCAATTGCTCCAGTCTGGGTATCCTTTGCACTGCTACCTATTCACTTTCAGGCTAAGAGCAGTTTATATGCTATTTCTAAAGCTATTGGCCTTCCATTGCGTATTGATGAGGCAACATCTGATCTTCGCCAACCTAGTGAGGCTAGAGAGGGAAAAGATCGGTGGCTATTGGCAACAAGTTATATATGATCAGAAGCCAGAATTTCGTTACAGATGCAGACATTTTGGGCACTTAGAAGTTCAGTGTAAACTTAGCATAAGATCAGCACCACCTCTTGTTGTTGAGCCTATCCATAAACCTGTTATCCCTGCTAAGGATAAGGACAAAGGAAAGGCAATGCAGGGTGAGCCATGTCAGAGGTGGACCCCAGTTCGTAGAGAGCAGAAGAGACAGCAGGCAAGCACATCAGGTGCACATGTTTCCCAAGCGGATCCACCTACTGTAGCCCAGTCAATTGCATCTATAGCAGCCACTGCTTCAGTTAATCCTCCAATAGTGCAGTCAGTAGCTCCAGACACTATTGCTCCTTCGAGTGCCATTACACCAGCCTTGGCTCCATCACAGCCTGTTATTCATGTTGATTGTGATTACACTGACCCCTTGGCTCACGACATGTCTCGACGAACACATGATTCAGAGGCTATAGATATAATTGTCAGACAGCTTCCCGGCCCTATACCTGGCCGTACTGGTAATCCTACCTCTAGCTCTCCACTTGTTTGTCAACAGAAGATTGAATCTTCTATTCCTTCAGTAGAGTCTGATCAGTCAGATACTGAAGCTACATCACAGATTGAGGTCCATCAGTAGGGTGTGTTCCGTAGGTCTTCTACTGAGGATTTGGTGGGTATGGCTAGTAGATCAGAGGATGACGGTTTTGTCTGAGTCACAAGAAAGAAACACCCATGAGCTATTGATACTCCACATCCGAGCAGAAGGATCACCAAGAGTCAGTCACATGATACCTCTTCACATTCTCCTTCCCTATGAGTGCCATCATTTGGAATGTGAGAGGTGTAGCTAATGTAGCTACTCGTCGGCGCCTGAAGAAACTTATACAACTTCATCAGGTTTATCCTTTGGTTATACTGGAGCCCTTTGTTCTTTAGCATAGCTTTGCATATATTTGACACTATCTGCGCTTCGATATGGGAGCTCAGAATGAATCGAATAAGATTTGGTTTTTCTGGAACTCGGGGACTAATGTTACTATTATTGTTGATCACCCCCAGTTTCTTCACGTTAAAGTTGAGGACCCCAAAATAGCTCGTCCCATCTATTTTACTCCAGTTTATGCTTCTTGTGATGCGTCTATCAGGAGGGATTTGTGGGCGGGTCTTCACCACATCTCCCTCGATATGGATGACCCTTGGATAGTTGGGGGAGACTTTAACGTTATTACTCATGATGGAGAGCGCACAGGTCATAATACCCATGATCGAGACACTACAGCTTTTTCTAATATGATGTTGGACAGTGGTTTAGAGGATGCAGGTTTCCTTGGTCATCGATACACTTGGACCAATGGTCGGGTCAGGAAGAGATTGGATAGAGTACTCATTAATTCTTCAGCTGCAGCACTTTGTCTACAGCTTACAGTGAAGCACTTGAACAGGACTTCATCTAATCATTCACCTTTATTACTTCAGTGGACTTCTGATGATGACTTGGGGCCTAGGCCTTTCAGATTCCTCAACGTTTGGACCAAGCATCATGATTTTTTAGCATTTGTCTCTCAGAAGTGGTCACTCCCCACTCATCTTACGGGGATGGCTGCTCTTTGGGAGAAATTCTTCAGGATGAAATAGGGACTACGCTGGTAGAATCGACATGTGTTTGGAGACATTTTCCAGCGAGTGAGGGATGCTGAGGACAGGGTTGATGAGGCAGAGATTGTATTTGACAGTGACCCTACACCAGAACATCGTGACATACTGCATCAGGTTCAGGCAGCTTTGAACCAGACTTTATCTATTGAGGAGGGCTTTTGGAAGCAAAGGGCTGGCTCACGTTGGGTATGTGAAGGAGATCACAATACTCGATACTTCCATGCGATGGTTTAAGGACGCCGTATCAGATCGCGTATTAGGTCCATTAAGACACAGGCAGGGGAAGTCTTAGCTACTCCTGCTGATATTCAGACCTCAGCTATTGCTTTCTACCTGGATCTCTTATCTACTCCTCCACAACCTTTGGACCCCATCCGTCTTGATGTCATTCCGAGGCTATTGACAGAGGACGATAATTTGGCACTAAACCGCTCCCCTTTGATTCATGAGGTACGGGAGGCAGTTTTCAGTATTGATGCTGACAGTGTTGCTGGCCCGGATGGCTTCTCATCCCTATTTTTCCAGCATTGCTGGGATATCATTTAGGAAGATGTTTACAGGGCGGTATTGGACTTCTTTGATGGTGGTCATCTTCCACGGGGTTTTGCTACTACTTCTATTGTCTTGCTACCTAAGAAAGTTGGTGCTTGGAGATGGACTAAATTCAGACCAATTAGCTTATGCACAGTGTTCAATAAGATTATTACTAAGCTTTTGAACACTCGATTGAGTACACTGCTACCGCGCATTATTTTCCCTCCATAGAGTGGTTTCATCCCAGGCCGTCTGATTGGAGATAATGTTTTATTGGCTCAGGAGCTTCTCTACAGTTTGGATAATAGAGAGGGAGGGGGAAAGACTATGCTGAAGTTAGACATGGCTAAAGCATATGATCGCATGGACTGGGGCTTCATTTATTTTGTATTGGAGGCATTTGGATTTGATCAGATCTGGATTGACAGAATCAGGCAGTGCATTTTGGAGTGTCGTTTCTCCGTACTCCTAAATGGTTGCCCATGTGGTTTCTTTCCCTCCTCACCAGGACTCAGATAGGGTGATCCCATCTTCCCATCCTTATTCATCATTGTAGCAGACCACTTCTCACGCTTGCTCACTCAGAGGTTTCAGTAGTATCCCAGTATGTGTTATCGACATGGAGGTAGTGCACTTATCTCACATCTCTCATTTGCTGACGATATGATCATCTTTGCCAACGGTCAAAAACAGTCTATCAGGAGGGTCTTAGACTGTTTGGAGCACTATGAAGGAGTTTCTAGCCAATTGGTGAATAGAGACAAGAGCAATATTATACTATCCAGATGGGCATCCACTAGTCAGATCAGACGACTAGAGATTTTGACTGGCTTCAGACATTAGCAGCAGCCTTTCACTTACTTGGGTGTCCCCTTATTCAAGGGGACTAAGAGGAGCTTCCTTTATGATGACCTTATCCAGAAGATAAGGGATATGATATCAGGTTGGGCCTCACGATTACTATTGCTTGGGGGTCGTATTACATTACTGAGGTCAGTACTTTCTTACATACCTTTACATCTTCTTCAGATTATGCAGCCGCCCAAGGCAGTACTGAAGAAACTTGAGAGCATCTTTACCCGATTTCTATGGGATTCTAAGGATCAAGCACGACGTCTACATTGGAGGAGTTGGAAGGCGATTTGCCTTCCTACTAATGAGGGAGGCCTTGGCTTTAGGAGATTACAGGATGTGGTGGACAGCTTCTCCATGAAGCTTTGGTGGTTGTTCCAATCTCAGAGGTCACTTTGGGCTCACTTTTTACTGGGCAAGTATTGTAAAGGGACTCATCCTTTACTTGCAGCAGTTCCGAGTTCAACTTCCCCTACCCAGAAGAGGCTAAAATCAGTTGGGCCAAGGACGGATCCACACATTGCTTGGCACCTTGGAGCTGATCAAATTTCTTCTGGCATGATTGCTGGATGGGCGAGTCCACATTTTGCATTCCTATTCCCCCACAGACAGCACACATCTGCGAGGGTACAGGATTTTTTTGATGACACTGGGTGGGATTTTGGACGGTTATTACAGGCCCTTCCTTCTCACAAGGTGGAATAGATAGGGGCGATACCTTTATGTGCAAATGCCCCGGACCGAATTGTTTGGAAAATTACTTCGGATGGTGACTTTACCACCAAATCAGCATGACAACTAATCCATTTGGTTCGCCAGCCTCAGGACTCATATCAACTGCTGTGGAGCTCTATTTTGCCTACCACTATTTCATTCTTCTGCTGGAGACTATGGCAGGATCTCATTCCAGTAGATGTTATTATTTAGAGGAAAATTGGATGTCTGTTGGCTTCTCGTTGTCAGTGTTGTTCTGAGATTGAGACCATCAATCATATTTTCACGAGCAGAAGAATCTCCGACCAGGTATGGCAGCACTTTGGAGACATCTTTCTGATACCTATGACTTCAGGGGAGGGGGTCCGACAAAGGTTCCAGAGATAGCGATATTCTGGGCAGCACGTTAGCCATGGGCACATTCGTACTATCATTCCTCTACTGATATTTTGGTTTCTGTGGACTGAGAGGAATGATGCGAAGCATAGAGGTATTCGTATGGTGGCCAGATGTATTACTTGGAGGGTCTACCGCATGATCTCCTTTCTTCATATGGGAGGACTATTCCGAGTTGAGCATTGGCGAGGAGATGTGACACTTGCACCCTTTTTTGGCATTTCTTTGACCCGTCCTCTCCCACCACCACCTATTATAGTTGTTTGGCGCACTCCACCAGTTGGATCCTACAAGATCAACACTGATGGATGCGTTAAAGATGGATTTGCAAGTGGTGGAGGCATCATTAGGGACCACACAGGATACTGTATCAGGGCATTCTCAGCATCGTATGGCCCATGTTTCATTTTGGAGGCTGAGCTCATAGCCATACTAGATGGGCTTCTATTGGCCAGAGGACTTGGGATTTCAGCTATCTGGCTCGAGGCAGATTCAACATTAGCTATTCACTGCATCACCAAAGGTGGAGGACCATGGTCGATTCAGGGTATTCTTAGACAGATCAGAGACCTCATCTACTTCGATAGAGACACAGTTTCACACATCTACAGAGAAGGCAACCAGGTTGCTGATTCTCTCGCTATAGAAGGCTGGAATCATCGGCGCTATCTAGAGTATGGACCACTAGAACTGCCTCGACATATTTGGGCAATAGTGCAGATCGACAGACATGGATTGCCCAGTTTTAGAGGTTCGTAATTTAGGCTATGATTATTAAACTATTTTTATTGTATAGGGAAGTAGTACTTCCTCGTTTATTGCTTTCATTTTATTATATTCAGTTGTTGCATCATTACTTTTTGGAGGTCAGGTTCATGCCCCCTCCTTCCGTGTATTCTTGATTTTTATGAAATAAATATGGTTGGGGAACCCTTAATCCCCATCGACCTTCCTTGGTGGACCCTAAAAAGTCATTAAGGATGTGTAGATGCCTTTACCAAAAAAAAACCCTAAACCCTAAACCCCAAACCCCAAACCCCAAACCCTAAACCCCTAAAACCCTAAACCCTAAACTCACAGAGTTGTTTCATACCAGGTTGTTTGATTGGAGACAATGTTTTACTGGCTCAGGAGCTTCTTTACACTTTGGATGATAGAGTGAGAGGGGGTAACACTATGCTGAAGTTAGACATGGCTAAAGCATATGATCGCATGGATTGGGGTTTCATTTATTCTGTATTGGAGGCTTTTGGATTTGATTAGATCTGGATTGACAGGATTAGACGTTGCATTTTGGAGTGCCATTTTTCTGTACTTCTAAATGGCTGTCCATATAGTTTCTTTACTTCCTCACGAGGACTCAGACAGGGTGATCCTATCTTTCCATCCTTATTCATCATAGCGACAGACTACTTCTCACGCCTGCTCGCTCAGAAGTTTCAGGAGTATCCTAGTATGTGCTATCGACACAGAGGTAGTACTCTTGTTTCCCATCTCTCATTTGCTGATGATATGATCATTTTTGCCAACGGTCAGAAACAGTCTATCAGGAGGGTCCTAGACTGTTTCTGACCAGTTGGTCAATAGAGACAAGAGTGGTCTTATACTGTCCAGACGGGCATCCACTAGTCAGATCAGACGATTGGAGAATTTGACTGGGTTTAGACATCAGCAGCAGCCTTTTACTTACTTGGGAGTCCCACTATTCAAGGGGACTAAGAGGAGCTTTCTTTATGACGACCTTATCCAGAAGGTCAGGGGCAGGATCTCAGATTGGGCTTCACGATTATTATCACATTGGGGTTGTATTACCTTATTGAGGTCAGTACTCTCCTCCATACCATTGCATCTTCTTCAGATTATGCCACCGCCCAAGTTAGTACTGAAGATGCTTGAGAGCATCTTTCCCCGATTTCTATGGGATTCTTAGGATCAAGTTCGACGCCTACATTGGAGGAGTTGGAAGGAGATTTGCCTTCCAACAGATGAGGGAGGCCTCGGCTTCAGGAGATTACAAGATGTGGTGGACACCTTCTCCATGAAGCTCTGGTGGTTGTTTCATCTCAGAAATCACTTTGGGCTTAGTTTTTACTGGGCAAGTATTGTATCGGAACACATCCTTCACTTGCAACAGTTCCTAGTTCAACTTTCTCTACCTGGAAGCAGCTAAAATTAGTTGGACCACAGACAGATCCACACATTGCCTGGCATCTTAGAACCGGCCAGATTTTCTTCTGGCACGATTGTTGGATGGGCGAGACCACGTTGGCATCCCTATTCCCACACAGACAGCACACATCTGCGAGGGTGCAGGATTTCTTTGATGACACTGGGTAGGATTTTGGACGGTTATTACAAACTCTTCCTCCTCAAATGGAGGAACAAATAGGAGCCATACCTCTATGTGCAGATGCCCCAGATTGAATTGTTTGGAGGATTACATCGGATGGTAACTTTACCACCAAATCAGCATGGCAGCTTGTCCGTTCGATTCGCCAGCCTCAAGATTCGTACCGATTACTGTGGAGCCAAATTTTTCCTACCACTATTTCATTCTTCTGTTGGAGACTGTGGTAGGATCTCATTCCTATAGATGTGATTATTCAAAGGAGGATTGGATGTCAATTGGCCTCTCATTGTTAGTGTTGTTCTGAGATTGAGACCATCAATCATATTTTCACGAGCAGCAGAATCTCCGACCAGGTATGGCAGCACTTTGGAGACATCTTTCTGATACCTATGACTTCAGGGGAGGGGGTCCGATAAAGGTTCCAGAGATGGCGATATTCTGGGCAACATGTTAGTCGTGGGCACATTCATACTATCATTCCTATGCTGATATTTTGGTTTCTATGGACTGAGAGGAATGATGCAAAACATAGGGGTGTTCGTATGGTGGCTAGCCGTATTGTTTGGAGGGTCTACCGCATGATCTCTTTCTTCATATGGGAGGATTGTTTCGAGTTGTGCATTGGCAAGGGGATGTGTCACTTGCACCCCTTTTTGGCATTTCTATGACCCATCCTATCCCACCACCACCAATTATGGTTGTTTGGCGCACTCCACAAATAGGATTCTATAAGATCAACACTGACGGATGCGTCAAGAACGGAATTGCAAGTGGTGGAGGCATCATTAGGGATCACACAAGATACTGCATTAGGGCATTTTCAGCATCGTATGGCACATGTTTGATTTTGGAGGCTGAGCTCAGAGCCATACTAGATGGGATTTTATTGGCTAGAGGACTTGGGATATCAGCTATTTGGATTGAGGTAGATTCAACGTTGGCCATTCACTGCATCACCAAAGGTGGAGGACCATGGACGATTCAGGGTATTCTAAGACAGATCAGAGACGTCATTTGCCTTAACAGAGACACAATTTCTCACATCTACAGAGAAGGTAACCAGGTTGCATATTCTCTTGCTTTAGAGGGTTGGGATCACCAGCATTACCAAGAATATGAATAACTTGACCTGCCTCGACAAATTAGGGCATTGGTGCAAATCGACAGATATGGATTGCCCAGCTTTAGAGGTTTCGTAGTTTAGGCA